TACTGTGATATCCACAATAATATATTTTTTCAAATATGAATATGTGATGGAGCATGATACATATAAGACAGTGAAAAAATGGTGAAAAATCTGCTAGTGATAGGTGTTTCAAAAGCCTTCCAAAATATAAACAAAAAACAAAAACAAAAAATGAAAGCTCCTAAAACTTCTAAGGCTAACTAACTAATAAGACTAAATCTAGCAAAACAACGCAAAAAATCACTAAGAACCCTTATGCCATTTACAAAATTATATGATGTGCAAGACTTACTTGTGATTTGCAGTAATACCATCACTTGTTCTTGTCTCATTTTCTGACTGCTCAACCACAATGGAAGGTTGCCGAGTATTATGGTACTTGTGTCTAACACGTTCAGAATCTGTGTTGTCTTCAATATCTGCATCACTAATCTCTGCGGAATGTCATTACAAAAGATATTACAACTTGAACATAAGTGAATAAGTGATACAAGGAGTAAAACATTTGCAAATAGAACACAATAGTTAAATATCAAGCAGGACAATCCATTACTCAAAACACACAAATCACAAGAAAATGCCTAGAAACTTTATTCCATGTTTTTACTGACCATTCTTCCTACTGATGGTCAAGGGGATCGTCTGCTTTTTTCTTTTTTTTTATTTCTCTTACCGATTTTGATAAAAATTACAACCTTCTATATAGACCCTAGTGACATCTCAGATATCAAGCTTTCTTTTTAATTGCCTGAAAACTTTTTCTTTGTTACAGTAAAAAAAAAACGAACAGTGAAAATTCTAAAAAATCCAAACAAAAATTACACAGGCATTCTGATATTTTTTTTAAACAGATTCATCCAAAGTCTTGAGAAAATTTCGGTTTTGACAGTTTTTTTATTTTGTGTGGGAAATATTTTACCCAAGTGACTTATAGGAATCCAAGAAAAGCGTAATTTTCTTTATATGTCACTTTTACAAGAAGCAGAGGGAAAATTTTTTAAAAACTGTCACACATGTTCCCCAGATATTTCATTTATCTACAAAATAAGCCATCACATGTACATTTTGGACAAAATATTAAGTGTTCGAGGCCAAAATCGGAATACTTTGGAAATAATGGTCAATGAAGTTTCTTTTTACTTTCCATCATTTTTTAAATATGAACAATAATAGACAGAAGAATAATCTTCTTACAACATAATCATCTATCATCTACATGCATTCTGAAGTCATGCACAAAATCCCAGAGTGTAATAAAGTTGTTCAAACATTGTAATGTGGAGGCAGGGTCCCACTGATTTGGGCCTGAAACTCTTTGGAAATGCATATACCTCAAAATCAGTAAGCTGGAATATTTTGGCTAAAAAATTGGTAGACGATCCCCTTAAGCAAAAATTCATGAACAACCTTTATATAAAGAGGGTCACTTTTTTGGGTATAAAATAAGTATGAAACTCAAACACAAGGTGCAAATGCAAGCATCTTTGGAAATTATTACTTGACTAGAACACATGGGTACAGGCAGTAGCATCAGGAATGAGGGGTAAAGGGAACAACTGTCCCAGGGCCCTAGGGGGCCCACAAAATTTATTTACTTCTATTATCTTTACTGGATACTTGCCTTGGTCCACACAATCAACTGAAATGACAATACTAATTTTTCTTGAAAACTAGCATTCAGAACAAACAAAATTTCTAATTCAATTTCATGAGAGGATTGTCTTTCTCCATTACATTTACTATCTCCATCATCCATCTAAAAGATTAACACCTTTGCTTGAATAAATTTATAATCAATGAATATATAATGTAGAAGCCTTCATCTCACATTGTAAATGAGTAGAAATCCTCTCCAACATCAAGACCCATAAATTACAAATAAAAATATTTTCTTTGGAAAGAACACAAAAGTCGTCATATCAGACCAACACCCATGAATTACCCTGGGGCCCAGCCCAGTCTCGACACCCCTGGGTACAGATATTAGCCATTTTCTCAAATCAAAACTTTCCAAATAACCTCTTCTAACTACAGCCAAGACCTGGAGATGGAAAAGCATACCAACGCATAATATAGGCCATATTCTTTGGAGAAACCATTCACCGAATACAAGTGAAATGCGCTACTGATATATATGAAATTATTTAATGCTTTACGATATCTGTGGATAAACCATATCTAAAAAGAGAATGTAAGAAGCTAAACTAATAACAATAATATTTTACTATAAAAAGCAAAATAGTATTGAGTGCAGTGCAGTAGATCTAGTGAGGTTTAATCATACAATACAGGCATTTGTCACACATTCATACATTTGAAATTTTAATGTAAAATTATCTTATTACCTCCCAGTAACCTCAAATTTAACTTTGCAAAGTAATCCACCAGCACATACCTGACAACACGTATAAAAAAAAAATTGTGATTATTTACTTACCTGTGGAAGACTTTTTCTTGGAACTGGCAATGTCACTATCGTTGTCCTTAACCTCATTGTCTGTCTCTTCTGATTCATCCTCATCCTCATCATCATCATCCTCATCATCATCTTCCTCCTCACTTTCTTCTTCATCAGCAGCTTTGGACTTATCATCTTTGCATTTATCCGTCTTTTCCTTAGTCTCCTCAGTCTCTCTCTTTGTTTTACCTTCCACATTCCCCTCAGCTGCATTATTTTTGTTCCCAGATGCTTCCTCTTCCTCATCATCTTCCTGATCATACTCAGAGTCTTCATCGCTCTCCTCCTCGTCGCTATCCTTCTCCTGTCTATTGATTCTTCGCGCTTCCATCAGCTGTCTGAACTTAAAACTTTCTCCTCTCAAAATACCAGTTGTCTTCGCTCCCTTAGCCTTCTGCTCTTCCTCCAATTTTGTGATTTCCTCCAATTCTTCTGGACGTCGTTTCTCAGTCATTCGCCTCTTCATCTTCTCACTTTGTACCGTCTTTTTGCCTTGTTCTTCCTCCTGGTCTTCAGTGTTAGCACGAATGCAAGCTGGTGCAAGGCCCCCTCCTTTGGCACGCCCCTTTGTCTTACGAGCCTTTTTCTCCTCTTTCTTCTTCTTCTTCTGCTGGTGCTTGGAAACATTGTTGTTGCTGGACTGTCTCCCAAAGCAGTCTAGTAAGCTTTCATCATCTGAAGGTGATGTTTTCTTTGGTTTACCCTACAAGTAAGGCACATTAGTTTCAGTAAGCTTCTGAGGGATAAATATTAGCATTTCAAGTCAAAATCTGTTGCCATATGAAAAAAATTATACCACTTTTGAGCAAATCAATCATTATATTAACAACCAGAAGTAAACTAAGAATATCTAAATTCCTACTGTAAAGTCACAGCATCAGTAACATGGCAAAGATGGTGCATATTTTAAAAATTAAGATAATATTTTCATTAGAATGACTTCCACTTAACAAAAAGATTCATTACAACTTATGTAATGAAATGAAAATCCAGCACTTACCTTTTCTTCATTAATGGGGAGAGAAAGATCCATGAATGGCTCAAACACTTGTGATGACCAGTGGCACTCTTCACAAAAGACTGCAAAGGAAAAAATGTAAAGTAAGCCTAATCAGATTTATTGTATAAAGTACTTGAAATTTCTGAAAACCATATGAGGAAAAAGTTGCTCCTTCCAACCTACATAGGAAAAGGCCCTTCTCACACTCAAAATGAGAGATAAAAAAGAGCCAAACGTACCATAATTGCCATATTAATTCACCTGTGCTGATAAGATGTCCTCCAAAGATATGGTCAACCAAGGTATGAGTTGCCTGCTTGCCATAGCCCTTGATCATGGTCTTGAGCCGTGGACTCACAGTGTTAGGATCAGTCTTCTCTGACAGAGCAAAGGCCTTGAGAATGGCCCTCTTTGCTCGTAGGATTTCCTCATTACGTATAGCATCCAGGAGGCAACGAAGGAGTTCGTGGGCATCTTGCTGTTCATATCCTTGGAACTGTGTGCTTTTCTTGCATATCTGCATTAAGAGAGATTTTCAATAAGCTACTGGAATGCCTCTAATCATTCATAAATATTTTATATATTAATGAGACTAAAATCAAAAAGGAAAGAACTGTCTTTGATTCTAGCTTATGGAGTTTACAATGAAAACTGAAGTAAATCAAATAAGGAGCCAATTTTTTTTTAAATGGAACAACAGCTACCAAGATAAAAAAAAGTCTGAGACAGAAGCATCATACACTGAAACAAAAGTATTGTAGAACACTAATTTCAAAAATACATCTAAAGTTTTAAATTGATATTTCTTCAATCACATATCTAAATATTCAATACATACATCACTAAATTAAGTTTTAATTCCTTTAACACTGCCATTTCTCATGGTGTTATATCAAAAATATAATTATCAATAACAAAAGCAGTACTGATTATAATTACTTAAAAAAGAAAATTGATGATGATGAAGATGATGATGCAATAAAAGTATTCACACTTGAAGAATTACATCAAAATCAACTCTTTCTCAAGTACATTGCTAACATCCGTACACATGACCTCATTGGCAGAGGCAACAAAGATAATGAAAATAATAATAAGTGAACTCTGTTACCAAGGAAATACGTATAACTGATGCAATCCTATAAAAAATTATCATTATAATTAATCATATTGATAATTATCATTATCATTATCATTATTACCATATAACCATTCACTTTATCACCATCATTACTATTATCATCACCACTGCTATTATCACTATTACTATCACTATTACTATTACTATTACTAATACTAATACTAATACTATTACCATCATTATCATTATTATTATCATGACTATTCTCATTATCATCATCATCACCACTACCATCACCACCATCACCATCATCATTGTTATCATTATCATTACCATCATTATCACATCACGTCATGAAAAATTTTGGCTTGAGGGGCGGGCAACATAAACAGGTAGTCATGGGAAGATCTGGTTGTGGGCCAGAGTGGCACAAACTTGCCCTCATGAGCATTTCGGCTGAGGGTGACGGGAATGACTCGCATCGAGTTCACAAAACTCTTGGAGGTGTTTAAGAAGGGGCTTTTACATAATTTCCATCAATAATCGAGTGTGGAATGTATCATCCATGAGCCAAGTTTGGAGCCAGGGAGGATACTATTTTCAGAATACTATATCTGGCTGCTGTGACCATAGCACAGATTGCATTACAGAAAATTAAAAAAAAAAAATCTTACTTATTGTATTTATTATTGCACTGAGTTACGGACTACCTAGAGATAATACGGAGTTTGTAAAAGGAAAACATTCTGGTACAATCTGGATAAAGCAAATCAAATGACAAATATAGACATTAGGAAATGACAAAAAAGTTAAAAACACTTAAAAAGAAAAAGAAAAATAACACTGATAGGGAAGGCATGAAGTCGCGTCACCACACACGAGTGTTCATGGGTGCCCGACCTACAGGCCCATAATGCTCATATTTTGGGCCACACCATGGCAATGAAGCATCTGGATCCAATGGGTTAATATCATCATTATTATTATCATTATCAGTATTATCATAATTATCACCATTATTATCAAAATTATCATCATCATCATGTTCACAGAATATGACTATGAAAATGAACATGAACATCCGGTTGCAATGGTTACATGAGTGGCCAGCATCCCGGGAGTGTAGCACGTAGGCTGGGCGCGCACAAACACCCATGAGCGGTGACAAGACTCTGTGCCTCCCCTTTGAGAAGTTATTTTGTGAAAACATTTTAAGCTTCATTGCCATTTTCCAATGTCCATTTTTGTCTTTTGATTTGCTTTATCCAGATGGTAATTACATTTGGTTATTAGTGTCATATATCTCATTTTATGGTAATTTTCTATTTTACGTAATACAACCTGTGCCGCCAGTCTCAGCACCCAGGAATACAGTGCGCAGCATGGAAATGGCATCCTCTCTGGAGCCAGAGCTCTAACAGTCACTACTTACACATGTTACATTCCACATTCGTTCATCGATGGGAATAATGCTAAAGCCCCCTTCTAAATGCCAAATGAGTCAAATCACACTCCAAGAGGTTTATGCACTCATATCTTTTCCGTCACCCTGGCCTTTGCTCTTGACGCTTTGTTCACGTCACCCGTGTAGCTGTCCAAGTTTTTCCTTGACATGATTGCAATGTCATCCCAATCCAGGGGGTTAACATTAACATTAACATGAACATGAACATGAGCATGTACATCATCATCATTATCATTATTATCATTATCATAATATTTATTTTTATAATCATTATCATTATCATAATATCTATTTTTATAATTATTATCATTATCATAATATCTATTTTTATAATCATTATCATCATCATAATATTTATTTCTATAATCATTATCATCATCATCATCATTGTCAATATTATTATGATCATTTTTATCATCATTATCATTATCATAATTATGACAATTATCCTAACTATTATCATCATCAACATTTTCAATATCATCATTATCACTAATATCCTTATTATGATTATCATCATTATCATTAACATAATTCATATCAATATCATTATTCCTATAATAAAAACAAGAACAATAATTGAAAAAAAAAGCATACCCTCTGAATTTTCTCTAAGCATACCTCCTGAATTTTNTCTCTCTCTCTTCTTCTCTCTCTCCTCTCTCTCTCTCTCTCTCTCTCTCTCTCTCTCTCTCTCTCTCTCTCTCTCTCTCTCTCTCTCTCTCTCTCTCTCTCTCTCTCTCTCTCACTCTCTCTCTCATTTCATTATTCCTGGCCGGAAAGGGATGGGAGGGGGAGGGGAGGGTGTGAGGTTAAATGGTCTTGAAATCTATTTATGGATCCTCTTTAACGGCAGATAAGTTTGTCTGTGTGTGTCTGTTTGTGTGTGTGTGTGTGTGTGTGTGTGTGTGTGGGTGTGTGTGTGTGTGTGTGCGTTTGTCCATGTGCGCACTGTGTTTTATGTCTCTGATCCATGCATATATGTATACACGCATTCATGTTCTTCGTTATATGTATACGTGTCTCAACACCCTATCCAGGTACATTATCACTAACGATTACACAGAACAATTACCTGCAGCAGGAAATTTTGCATCTAATTCCCTAAACACAGTAAACCCACAGAAGAACCCCAGGTAATTATGAACCTCGTGATTAAAAGGCTTAATCCCGCATGTAACATCCGTTTTGTCGCTTTACAGAACCGATGTTCGCCTTAAAGGGTTTGTCCACGTGACCTCGGGCGCCATGAGGCATTCGGATGAGGAAATGAGGATCCGGGTTATCCATGTGTGGGTGTGTGGAGAGAGCAGAGGGGGGGGAGGAGGGAGGAGCAGAGGGAGGGAGGGAGGAGGGGAGGAGAGAGAGCAGAGAGAAGAGAGAGAGAGAGAGAGAGAGAGAGAGAGAGAGAGAGAGAGAGAGAGAGAGAGAGAGAGAGAGAGAGAGAGAGAGAGAGAGAGAGAGAGAGAGAGAGAATGAGAGGAGAGAGAGAGAGAGAGATGAGAAGAGAGAGAGAGAGACCGACGACAGACGAAGAGAAAAGAGAAGAGAGGGAGGGAGAGATAGATAGATAGAAAGAGAGAGAGAAAGAAAGAGAGAGAGAGGTTGTAGGTCTGTTGGGGGTATCTGTGTACGTGTTTGTGTACGTTTGAACGTGTGTGGATGTCTGTGTGTGAGAGAGAGAGGGGGGAGGGGGGTGTAGCTATGTTGGGGGTATCTGTATGTGTTTGTGTATGTGTAAGCGTGTGTGGATGTCTGTGTGTGTGTGAGGGAGAGAGAGGTTGTAGCTGTGTTCGGTGTATCTCTGTATGTGTCTGTGTATGTGTGAGCGTGTGTGGGTATCTGTGTGTGTGTTTGTGTGGTTGTTGTGTGTCTGCACCTGTGTCTATGTTTCTGTGTGTGTGTGGCTGTATACGTACGTATTTTTGTGTACACTTAAATGTGTGTTTTTTGAGATACTTGGGACTCTGAGGTCGATTTAAAAGACGTCAGTAGTGTTATTTACTGAACGTCCATTAGTAATCCATCTAAAATCAATATATTTCTCAATTTAATCTCAGGGTTCCTAGTTTTTGGAAGATTTTCTGCTTTTCCTTTTTCGTGTTTTCTTTTTTTCCTCGCTCTCTCTTTTTCTTTTTGTCTCTTATTCTCATATTCGGAAATCCTTTTTTATTTTCTTCCATTCTTAAAATCTGCAATTTCCTTTTCTCCTCTCCGTATATTCCCGAGGTTATCTTTCATTTTCTGTTATTTTCTCTCAATTATTTTTCTCCTATCGCACTTCAGTGTTTATCTTCTTCCCTCAGTTCTTCTTCTTCTAGCATTTTCAAATTCTCCGTTATTTAGCCTCTTTTTCAGTCATTCATTCATTATTTCCTTCATGTCCTTTCTCCCTACAAGGTTAGGTTAGGTTAGGTTCCGCAGTTCCAAATCTCTGTTTCCTCAGACCCTGTTTGGACGAGCAACTTTAGTGGCGCGACTGTTAGAAGCGCGACTATCAAGTCAATGGAAGCGAACAGGAGCGCACACACGTAGTGGCTGGCCTGTGGCGCGACTCGAGATTTTCCTCACAGTTGTTCGACTCGAGCTACATGTCTTGCTATGAAGCTGCACACACACGGCGACAGCCACTGCGTTTTCATGGTGATGGCATGCCTCACTGGCTGGAGTGGGTGGGATTCGACCAATGAGAGAGCACGTGGAGCGGAGGCAGACAGACCGGCGACAGTAGCTTCCGCTTCCCCAAGCCTGTCATCCTGAGTTGATGGACATTCTTATGTAATTAAAGAACTTGGGTTCATGTTCTCGGGACTTTGGATACAACGTGAAGAACATTCTATGGGTAAGTCTGTCATTTAAGATTGGTTGAACCCAATAACGTCTCTCTCTTCTTCCGCCGCTGCAAACGACGATATAAAACCCATGCACATGCCACTTCTTCTACATCCATTACCAGCTGTGTATGATCAGGGACTGAAGAGATAAAAAAAAAAAAAAAATAGTTGGCGAGAGACGAGTCGGGTCACTGTAAGCGCCGTGTGTGAACATTCACTCAGTAGTCGCGCTTCTAGCAGTCGGGCCACTAATATCTCTCGTCTGAACAGGTCCTGTCTCTCTTCAGCGCAGTCTTTAACAAAGTTCTTCAAACGTTTCCAATTGAAATCTGTCTTGAATGGAGTCTTCCAAACGCTTCTAACTGAATTTTATCTTCAAAGCAGCCCTTCAAACGTTTTTTTTTTTTTTTTTTTTCAGCGAGGTCCCTCAAACGTTTCTTACTGGAATTCTGTTTAGCGAAGTCCTTTAAAAAATATGTGAATTATGTCTTCAACCGTTTTTGTTTTTTGTTTTTTAATAAATTCTGTCTTCAACCCTGTCTTGCAAACGTTTTTTAACGGAATTCTGTGTTCAGTGCAGTCCTTCAAATATTATAAATTGAATTCTGTCTTCATCGTAGTCTGTCAAATAATTTTGAACTGAATTCTATTATCAACACAGTCCTTCAAACGTTTTCAACTGAATTACTTCAGTTTAGTCCTTCAAACGTTTCCAATTGAATTCTATCTTCATCGCAGTCCTTCAAACGTTTCCAATTCAATTCTGTATTAAACTCAATCCTCCAAACGTTTCCAACTGCATTCTGTCTTCAGCGCAGTCCTTCAAACGTTTCCAAGTGAATGTAAACGTTCGTCTTCTTCCCTCCCCTGTGTCTCCTCCGCTGCCCTGTTCTCGCAATGGAAAATCAAACATTTGTTAACCCTCCTTTTTTATCTATCTCTCCCTCGTTCGTTTACCATTCCATCTCCATTTATTTCTGTGTCCTCTCTCAATATTCTGTTCATTCGTCTTTTTCTCCTTTTCGCTTCTTTCTCTTTCTCTTCTTGTATATAGCTTTATTGTTATTTGTTTTTTTTATCGTTTCTCGTTTCCCGTTTATCTTTTTTGGATTTCTATTTAGCTGTCTATATGTCTGTTAATTCCGCTCTGTTTCTGTCTGTTTGTCACATGTTGTCTATCTGT